CTCATTCACTCGTCCAGGCGCGACCAGGTAGGGTCAACAAGAAGGGGCCAACAGAAAAATCCTAATAATTTCTTATCATGCCCGGGTATCTCCGGGAGATCTCGGGGGATCTCGGGGGATCTCCGGGCGATCTCGGGCGATCTCGGGGGATCTCGGGGGAATCTCGAGGGATCTCGAGGGATCTCGGGGGATCTCGGGGAGATCGCACCAGATGGTCGAGCTTGTAGACAGGCCGCCTGGCGTCGAGCCTCCTCGCCTCCTTCTTCTCGTGCCTAATCTCGCGCGATCTCGCGTGATTCGGGGGCGCTCTCGGCCGCCTCGCCGCCCGCCGCCCTTGTCGCGCGCGGAAGGATGAAGGAGAGGTGGGTCTGTGCCGAAGAGTTGCAAGACACGCCCTCGCCCCCCGCGTCTACCTCTCTCTCTCTCGCGCGCCTTCCGACGGCGCGGCGGATCTTCTTGAGGAAGGCCTGAGGAGAGGCAGGCTCCGAGGAGGGGTCGTGGGCGGGGCTGCGCCTCTGGGAGGGGTGAGGGAGGAGGGAGGGAGGGAGGGAGAGGGAGAGGGAGAGGGAGAGGGAGGGAGGGAGGGAGGGAGAGAAAAGAGGGAGGGAGAGGGAGAGGGGTGTGTCAGGCCTTTTGCTCGCGGAACTTGTGCAGCAGCGGCTCGTGTGCGAGGAAGGCGATGTCCTTGGCGAAGTAGTACGTCGTGTTGCCGCCCTGGGGAGGACGAGCGCGAGGGGAGGCGCGGCGGTGAGGGACGGGCGGCGGCGAGGGAGCGCGGCGGCGAGGGTGGCGGCGAAGGAGGCAGCGGGGAGGAGGGAGAGGCAGCAGGCGGCAGCAGGCGGCGACGCGGTGGGAGGCGGCAGCGAGGGCCCGTCGGCGCCTTGAACTTCTTCTTTGGCTCGCGCGGGTAGATGCCCTTGAGGATGCAGAGCCGCCGGAAGTCCTTGAGCGTCACCTGCGCGCGAACGGCGTGAGCGCAGTCAGGCCGCCGCCGCTGAGCTGCCATTGCGCCTCCCGCCGACCGTCGCCGCAGCCCTCCGCTCCCATCCCGCCGTTGGCGAAACACGAAAAATGCCGCTGCCCGCACCGCTAGACGGCCGTGGCAGCGCGTCATCCCCACCCGCTCCCAGAGGCGGCCGGGCTGCCCGCGCCTGCAGCTTCTTGACGGCCGCGGTGCGGGTCATGTACCGCGCCTCGGAGCCAACCTTGCGGCGCGTCTTGCCGATGCTGTTCTTGTTCTCGAACTTCTTCTTCTGCTTGACGTTGGAGCGCTTCTCAGCGCGCGCCTTGGCGGCCTCGCCGGCCTTTGCCATGCCGTCGCGTCGTCTACGCGGCCTGTCGAGTAGAGGCCCCGCCCACCCAGGGTACCCCTCTCGAGGGACCCATTGTGCTCTCTCGAGGGCTCGCCGGGGCTCTGCTCCAAGAGACCTCGAGAGTGCGTGCGTGTGCCTCTACTCGCCAGTACGCGGCCACCCACAGCCTGGCCAAAAAGAATTTTACAAGGCAGGAAAAGAAAGGAAAAGAAAAGAAAAGAAACGAAAAGAAAAATCGAAAGCTTCTAAAACAACAACAAAAGTGCTAAACTGAATAGCGACGTAAACTTCTCGACAACGTCTAGGTTCCTATCCTAGAATGTGACGCCCTCGGCGCTGCATGCACTTCCAAGTGTAAGATTGCCGAGAGTTGGTTCTCCCGCCTCGCTCAGGCAACGCGGAGCTGCATCCATAGCATCACCGGCTCGCGGCAGATAGGGCACCGCTCCATCCTAGCGGAGCAGGGGCCGCATGCGCACTGGTGGCCGCAGGGAGCCGCGACGTGCGATTTCGGGTTGGTGAAGCACACAGAGCACGTGGTCTCACCGCCGAGGGTCGACTCGGGGACGGCCGGTCTGCCGGTGTCGAAGTTGGCGTCCGCCAGAGAGACGCTCGCGAGAGGTGCGACCGTGTCCTCATCACCGCCGGCAGCCTCCCCTGCATCGTAGGGGTGGCTCGCTCCCACGAGCGCGGACAGGACCGCCACCGCCTGCTCCTGAAGTGTGCCCTGCGGCTCGATCTCGAGCGTGTCGTTTGCTCGTTTTATCAACTCGGCCACACTCTCCTCCGCCTCCGTGCCAAGCTGCTCCGCGATCCTCGTCGCCACCGTCGGGTCCACCGCCGCCGCCGCCGCCGCCGCCGCGGCGGCGGCCCGCTCTCGCTCGATCACGTTGGCCTCCTCCCTCGCGCGCTCCGCAGCTTCCTCTGCCTCAGCCGCTGCCTCTGCCGCTGCCGCTGCCTCTGCTTCTGCCCGCTCCTGTTCAAGCGCCTCCCTCTCAGCCACCTCCCTTGCACGTTGCGCCTCTGCCTCTGCCGTTGCCGCTGCCGCCGCCCGTATGGAATCCAGCACGCGGTTTTGGGAGATCCGTATGGCCTCTCTCTCCGCCGTTTCTCTCGCGCGCTCCGCGGCCCGCTCCGGCTCGAGCGTCTCCCTCTCAGCCGCCCGTGCCTCTCTCTCCGCCATTTCTCTCGCGGCGCGAACCTCGCGCACAAGGCGGCGTTCCGCTGCCTCGAGATCCGCTTTCAATCCTTGGCACTCATGCCTCCGCTCCACCTCAGCCGCCCTCTCGGCATCGTCCCGCTGTCGATTTGGCCCCGCCGCTCCCCGTGCCACCAGCCTCTCTGGCCGCCTCTGCCGCCCTGGCCGCTGCCGCTGTCCCCGCTCCGGCTCCCTCGCATTGCCTTGCATCAGATGATCTGTGGCACTGGCTGCATTTGGCCCCTCGCTCGCCGCCGCGCGCCAAAGGCAGAGGACAGCTTGAAGGCCGGCGGCGGAGATGGCGAGGGTAGGGTGGGCGGCGGAGGCAAAGTCGGAAATGGCGGGGTAGGCGGCCTGCTTGGCGGCGAGGATGGTTACAAAAGTGGCGGAGATGAGGGCCCAACTAACGATGTCTAAGGCTGTGAGAGCCCACGTGGAGAGGGCGGTCGCCCAACACCACAAGGAGCGAAGCCCCTGCGACACATATCCAAGGATCTGCCGGTATGGCTGGACGGCGTCTCGCATCACCTCCAGCGCGGTTGGCTGGCGCGGCCGTCGTCGTGCTGCACGCCTCCGGTGCGGCTGGAGATGCAACTTTGCGCTCTTGAGCACTCCCCATAGGAGGGGAGTGCACAGCACAAGCAGCACGCTCAGCAGGGCTGACCAAAAGAGGCTGAAAATAGGGAGAATCAATACGCCGGCAGAACCGTCGTATTCAAGGAGAGCTTCGATGCATTCGGGTTGCCCTTCAGCTCGGCGTACTTCAGCGCCGTATCGCCGTCCTCATCGCGCAACCGGGCATCCGCGCCCGCCCGCATCAGCTTGCGCACGATGGCAGGGTAGTTGCGGCCGGCGGCGTGCATCAGCGCGGTGGCGTTGTCGCTACTCTGTAGGTCGACCTCCGCGCCGTTCCGCAGCAGGACGTCGACTAGCTGCTCGTGGCCGGTGAAGGCGGCGCTCATCAACGCTGTCCAGCCCTCGCTGCTTCCCAGGTTCGCCTCCGCGCCGTTTCGCAGCAATATTTTGGCCAGCCGCTTATGACCGCTGTTCGCGGCGACCATCAGAAGCGTGAGGTCCCTCGTAACAGCAGTCTCGTACCTTGCGTTGACTCGCCCGCCGATTTCGACCCACGCCAGCACCGCTACCTCGTCGCCTCGCTCAGCCGCGTCCACGACCTCTCTTGGCACCTCGCCATCCACGTATGTCTCATCCTTGAGGATGCGCGCGCACTCGGTGTGGCCCGCCTCTTCTGCGAGCTCCAGCGCCGTGGCGCCGAGACCGTCTGTCGTCTTCGTTTCTGCGCCCGATTGCAGCAGCCGCAGCACAATAGCTGGTTGGCAATCGTTGCTAGCGGCGAACATCAGCGCGGTCCAGCCGTCGAAGTCCTGCAGGTTGACCTCAGCGCCGTGCCGAATCAGCAGCTCGACCACCCGCTCGCGGCCTTCCTGGGCGGCAGCCATCAGCGCGGTGCCGCCGCCTCTGCCCAGCAGGTTGACATCAGCGCCGCGCCGCAGTAGCAGGTCGATCACCCGCTCGTGGCCTTGCTGGGCGGCGGCCATCAGCGCGGTGATACCAATGGCATCCGGCCGGTTGACCTCCGCGCCGTGCTGCAACAGCAGGTCGGCCACACGCGCGTGACCTCTGCCGGCGGCCCACATTAACGCGGTCCAGCCGTCGTCGTCCCGCAGGTTGACCTCAGCGCTATGTTGAAGCAGCAACTCGACCACCCGCTCGTGGCCTGCGGTGGCGGTGTACACAGCGGCGGCGCGAATGAGCGCAGTGCTTCCGAAGTCACTTTTCCGGAAGTCACTGTTCCGCAAATTGACCTCTGCACCGCGTCGCAGCAGAGCGTCGACCACAACCTCGCGGCCGTTGGAAGCGGCAAGCATCAGAACTGTGTCGCCACTCCTGTGGCATGCATTGACCTGCCCGCCACCGTCGAGCCATGCCAGCACTCCTGCTGCGTCGCCTCGCGCAATCTGCCAGAGCCTATCGGGCACCGCCCCGCCATTCGACGCGCCACTATCTGTGCTCTCAAGCGCTGATTCGAGCCCAAGTGCCGATGTGAGGAGCAGCAAGAGACTCAGCTTCCCGGCACTGAACCACATCGCGTAAGCGCGCGCAGCGCCACTTTCTTTTCACCGCATTGCCTCAGCTTCGCCACTAACTCGCGCCAAAACGCCCTACCTACCTACCTATCCCCAGGCCGCGCAGTGACGTGAAAAAAGATGAAAATAGCCGGTACCTACCTATTGCAGTGCCCTTTTGGGTGAAACAAGACCAATCTACCTACCTATCTGGGAGGGGCCAGCCACTCGCAGACCCCTATCCGGCTAGGAGCCGGAACCCTGAATGTCAACGGCCGAGGTCCTCTCGCTCTCGGACTCCGCCGAGGAGACCGTGGACCTGTCAGCCAGCCTGAGCCAGCTGGAGCTGTCGGGCGAGGTGGTGGAGCGCCCACAGGGCGTCGGAGGAGACGACCTCTCGGGCCACCTCTCCGACACGGCCGACCTGTCGACCAGCGGCCTTCACCTCGGCAGCCACTTTGAGCCGGCGCTGCCACCCGATGCGCCAGCTCGGGCCGCGCCAGCGCCACCAGCGCCGCTGAACCCTTTCCTGGCCGAAAGCGTCGGCCGTGGCGGGACAGCCGGCGGGAGCGCACTTATCGAGGAGGCGGTGGAGAGGCCGAAGGAGGCGGAGGAGGAGGAGGAGGAGGTGTACGTGGATGATTTCGACGACTCGGACGGCTCGCTATCCGCTCCGCGCGGCCCGCTGGCGGCGCGGGCAAACGAGGCGCGCCGCGTCGAGGCGGCGCAGCGCGAGGAGGCGAAAGAGAAGATGGCGGTCGAGCGGCGTGCCAAGAGGGAGGCGTCGAGGCGAGCGGCGACATGAAGCGGCTGCCGGCGGCCAGGAGGCGCCCTGGGACCGCCTCGCAACCTCTCTCTAGGCGAGCGGCGAACGACGCGCCTGCGCAGACGGCGGCGGCGCCTGCACTATTGCCGGCGGCGACACCGGCACCGGCGGCGGCGGCGGCGGTGGCGGCGGCGGTGGCGACGCCTACGGCTGTGCCCGCGTCTGTGCCCGGCTGGCTCGCGGGCCCGCCGGTTCTGGCGGCAGAGCCTGGCGGTGCGGCGGGAGCCGGCGGCGGCGGTCTCGGCGGGCCGAGGGATTGGGAAGAGGTTGTTCAAGGGCGCGGCGGTCGGGCGCGAGATCACGGCGGGGCGGCTGCACTTGGCCGAGACCGTGGCCAGCATGCGGCGGCGAGGGAGGGGGAGGGGGAGGGGGAGGGCGCGCTGTCTGCCCTGCTCGCCGAGGCGGCCAAGCAGCAAGCTGCGCTGCGCGAGGAGCTGGCGGAGGAGAGGGCGCGCGCGGGGCGGCGCGAGGAGGAGGCGCGGGCGAGGCACGAGCAGGCGCTGGCGGCGGCTGGCGAGCAGCACGCGGCCGCTCTCGACGCGCAGCGCAAGGCGCTCGAGACGCAGCACGCGGCCGCGCTGCAGCTGGCGCAGGCGGAGGCGCTCTCTCGCGCGCGTCAGGCGGAGGGGCCGCTGTCGTCGATCCAGATCTCGGGGTGATCTCGGTCAATCTCGGTCAATCTCGCGGCAGGCGGAGGAGTCGCTCGCTTCGATCCAGGGTCGGCACGAGGCGGAGGCGGCGGCGGCGGCGGCCCTCGCCGACAAGGTCGCTGCGGAGCGCGAGGCAGCGGCGGAGCGTCGGGTCTCGTTCGAGCAGGAGAAGAGACACTCCCGAGACGCTGCCGAGACATTGCGAAGACACTTCAGAGAAGACTCTTCAGAGACACTTCCGCGACGCCACGGGCTGCTCCCCTAGTCGGACCCCTCCCCGAGCCGTCCTGCAGGAGCGCGCAAGGCAGGAGATGGCGCAGGCGCGCGCGCTGCTCGAGTCGGCGCTGGCGGCGCGCGGCCCGACGGGGAGGGGAGCGGCCCACGGCATTCTGCTCCTGGAGTCCACAGCCCTTCTGTGCACAGGCGCGCGACCGCACGCACGGCGAGGCGCTCGAGGCGGCCCGCAAGCAGGCGGAGCAGGAGGTGGCACACCACGAGGCTCTGCTCGAGCAACGGCTGGCCGCCGCGGCGCGCGAGACTGCGGAGGCGACCGCAGCCGACCGGCGAGTGCACGAGGCGGAGCTGGCGCCGATTGGCTCCGCGCTCATTCCTCGTCGTTGGATTGATAGGCGAGTGCACGAGGTGGAGCTGGCGCAGCTGCGGCAGGTGACGGAGGCGACGCTCTCAGCCAAGGACCGGCAGCACGCGGAGCAGGTCAAGCGGCTGGAGGCGCTGCACCGCGAGCAGTGCGCCGCGTACGGCGTGCTGCAGCAGCAGGGCGGCGCACTCTCCAAGCTGGCGACCGACGTGGGAAGAACGGCGGAGGGGCTCGTCGTGCTGCGCGAGAAGATGGAGCAGGACCTGTGGAAGACGGTGCTCAAGGGCGAGGCGGCGATGCTCGAGAAGGAGGGGGCGCTCAACGAGGTGCAGGCGCAGCGCGAGAAGCTGTGGGCGGAGCGCGAGGCGCTGGTCGCTGCGATGCGGAGCGAGCTCGACGCCGAGCAGCAGCGGATGGCGGCGGCGTGGCGGAGCGGCCGGACAGAGTGGGAGGCCATGCAGGCTGAGCACAACGAGCTGCGCTCCCAGCTAGCGCAGCGCGCCGTCGAGATCGACGCGCTGCAGCAGCGCGTCGTGGCGGAGATGGCGGGCGCCGTCGCCACGCTGCAGGCGGAGCGCAAGCTCTTCGCGCAGGAGCGCGGGCTGTGCCGCGACGAGCGGTCGGCGCTCTCTCGCGCGCTGGTGTGGCACCGCGGCGAGGGGTCGCCAATCTCGGCGAATCTCGGGGAACTCTCGGCGAGTCTCGCGCTTAGGTGGAGCACCGCGGCGAGGTGTCGCGCCACCGCGAGGCCATCTTCAGCTCGCTGGAGGAGCTCGCATCGGAGAAGGCGCGGTCGGCGCAGCAAGGCTTTCTGAGTTAGTGGTGGATCCATCACGGTTGTGATCAATTTCATTAGGAGCGCACGGTGCAGCAGGCCACCCTGCAGGGAGCCCAACTCGAGCAGCGGCGCCAGGCGGCTAAGCTGCCCCCTGCCTTTACCTCATCATCATCATTATCACTATCGTTCTTGTTGTTTTCATCGCCAGGCGGCCGAGCTGCAGATCAGGAGCTCGCAGCTGGAGCGCGCCGCCGCCGCCAAGGAGATTGCGGCGGTGACTGGCCTGATGGCGACGCTGCAGCAGGACAAAGAGGCCATCGAGCGCGAGTCGGAGCGGCTATTGCGCGAGCGGGAGGCTATGGCGCGCCACGAAGGCGACACGGGCCAGGCTGCCGCGGGCGCACACGGGACGAGCGCTGCGGGGCCGGCGGGGGCGGGGCCGGCAGAGGCGTCCGCAGCCGCGGCGCACCTCTCGCCGGCCTCTCTCCCACCGCCGCCACAGCCGCCGCCGCAGCCACCCGCGTTCCCCGCGTCCGTGTCGCCCGAGTCGCACCGTGCCGCCCCTGCGCTGGCGGCGTCCGTGCATGCCGCCAGCGCACGGAGGGCGCACATCGAGCACACCCTCGCCGGCCTGAGCGCCCGGCTGGGTGGCGGCGGCGGCCCGCGCGGTGCGGGCGGCGCCGCCGGGGCGGGCGGGCTGGGGCTTGCGGGCTTTGTGTAGGAGACGAGGTCGGGGTCATGGCAGCGCCTGAACGTGCCCATTGCGGCCTCCTAAGGGCGCGGCGCTGCATTGGGGCTGCGGCCGAGGCGGTGTTCCCCTGGTCCGCGCCCCGACGGCCGAGCACAAGACGCAATGGATCTACACATCAAGCACTTTGCTCTTTGGATCTCGGAGGTCTCTGATCTACACAAGACCCGAAATCGATCTGTATAAGTTATAACAAGACCCAAAAAAGTCTCTGCTATCTCTTTCACGCCAGTCCCGTGCCCAGTGTTGTGCGAGGGAGCTTTGTTGTAAATTTATTTCTCTGCTGGCGGTCGAGGCTCGAGCCTGGTGTCGGCGATACGGATTACGGTGTTTCCGTACAATTCTTTTTTCGGGACCGGTCCTGGCCACGCAAGTTTCTCCGTCCGTCCCGTCTCTTCGACTCGATGGCCGACGCAGACGCAGGTCTCTTCGACTCGATGGCCGACGCAGACGCAGAGGCGTTCGTCATAGTCGGCGTCGCTGCAAAACCCGCTTCAGGCTTCGAGGCGGACTCGGTCGTCGGCGTCATCTCTCCCGCTTCAGGCTTCGAGGCGGACTCGGTCGTCGGCGTCGTCTCTGCAGAACCCGCTTCAGGCTTCGAGGCGGACTCGCTAGCAGCCCGCATCGAGCAGGTCCGGCTCGCCCTCGGCCTCGCCCCAGAACCGCTGCCCGCCGTCGTGGACAAGGCCGCCGCGGTGCTCAGCCTGTTCGACGAGTTGAAGGGCGAGCGATTCGTCGCCAAGGCCGCTGCTTGCTATGCCGCGCTCTTCAAGGCCGCGGCTGTCGTCCAAAAGGACACCACGCTGGCGGCGAGCACCTCCTCGTGGGACCTGTCCGGCGCGGTTCCGTTCGTGCTGTCCGCGCGCGTGCGCACCACGCAGGCGTCCGGCACAATCCTGGCCAAGGCCTTCCCTGACGGGCGGTGGCGCAACGGCGGCGGGGCTGGCCAGGCCAAGCTGCTCTTCCTGCGCGGCGGCCGCGTGTGCTTCGACATCGGCTGGGTCGGCTCCATCACGGGCAGCACGCAGGTCAACGATGGCGATTGGCACGACGTGGCGCTCCGCTTCAACGCCGCGCTGGGCGTCTACCAAGTCCTGCTCGACGGCGCTGTTGACGGCGCGGGGCTCAACGCGGTGTCCGACCACCCTGACTTGTGCGTGTACTCCCGCATCCCAGTCGGCCACCGAGTCTCCGACGGCGTCGCCAACGGCGACATGGCGAGTCGCTTCGAGGGCGACATCGAGGATCTCACGTACGAGAGCGCGCGCCACGCCGCCGCCTTCTCCATGGTGCAGGGCCACGCCTCCGTCTGGGTCAGTCAAAACTACTCTGCGCGCAAGTGGAAGATCGTCAGTGACGAGACGGTCAAGATTGAAGAGGGTGCAGGCTCCGCCTTCCGAGTCGTGCCTGGGCTAACGGGCGAAAAGGGCACCGTCTCTTTCGAGGACGCCGCGCGGCCCGGCCGCTACCTGCGCCATGCGGGCTACGCCATGCGCTGCCACAGCAGCAGCCATGGCGGCCCCTTCGCCCTCGATGCCACCTTCCGCCCCAGGCCAGCGCTGACGGGGGAGCCGGGCTTCGTCTCCTACGAGTCGGTCAACTTTCCGAGCCGCTACATCTCCCACCGCGGCTTCCATCTGCGCATCGAGCACGCCGAGGACAGCACGCTCCACCGCAACGACGCTTCGTTCCGCATCGAGACCTCTGCTCGCTATTGAGAACAAATATGCAAGACGCGGCGCACGATGCATGATGCATCCGACCAAGCACCCTCTGTCCAGCGCTGGCAGCGCTCCCCCCCCCACAGTATGAATCGCGTTTCCCTTCTTATGTTCCTTTGCAATCGCCGTCTCATACTGGCAGTCCTCTGGTGCCGAGCGTGCAGGGGTCGCGCCTCCGACCTCCGTGTGTGACCTCCCGGCCTAACTAAACGGTCTCCCTGCGAAAACCCAAAATGTACGGCCGCACTCTACCGTTCACCTGTCCCCCTGATCGTCCTTCCAAAATCCTGCTCGTGCAGGTGGGGACCCTGTCCTCGTCCCCGCACCTCTTTTCTTTCTTTCTTTCTTACTATGTATTTAAGACACATGACCATGACTGGACGCCGGAGAGGGAGAGAGATTTGTTTGTTGTTGACGCCGGAGGTAAGAATGCAGACTAACGAAGGAGCAGCGGCCGGAGCTCGCCGCGCTCACCATGCCCGAGCGCATGTCCCTCGCCGTGCTCAAGGTGCCGCCGCCGCCCTATATTCTTCTCTCGCTCCTCTCCCCGTGCCTTGGTCTGTTGTTTAAAATTAGGTGCCCGGTAGGCTTGGCTGCAAAGGGGATTTTCGCGTTTTGTTTTTTATTCAGGGTTTTGCAACTGATTCCGTTTGCAACAAACGGAATCAAGAAAAGAAAGGATCCCAAAAGCCCGCGGCGTCTCGTGCTCGACCGTATACTACCTCCCTGTAACTACCTCCCTGTAACTACCTCCCTGTATCGAAAACACGCGAGGTCGCGGCTCTTGCGTGTAAACTTGAGTGCCACATGCCAGTCACCGCGCGGAATGTACGTAGTAGCTCGGAGCATCCACTGTGCCGGCTGTGATGCGGCCGCAGTCTTGTTGCTTCCGCGATGTGGTGAAATTGAGCCTCATCACATCGCCGTTTGAATGCAAGAAGTAGAGCAGCACATGAGCATCCGCCGCCACAGATGCGGTTCGGTCGGTGCTGTCGCGGATTGCATCGCGTGCAGCTCGTGCCAAGCGCGGGTACTTTTGCAGCCGTGAGCCCTTGGTTGTGGCATGAACCCAATGAAGGTTTGTCTCATCGATGAGCAGAGCTTCAGCCGCGCTCCTCACAGCCTGCAAACCAGCACCTTCGCCAGTAGCCTCGTAATGCACTGCATACGCCCACACTTCATACTGTTTTTCGGGTGTACTGTTGGCAAACAAGACACAGAGCTCACACAGAATCACAGCGGGAGGGAACTGTGCTTTAGCCTCGGCAAGCTCTTCGAGACTCTTATCGACGTCATCGACACGTCGCTGCGGCGATGCTGGCTCCATCAAAGCTTGCACATGTTCCACCAGGCCTTCTAATTCCTTTTCAGTCTTGCCACTCAACGCATCCCGCAGTATCGAAAAAGCACGTGAAATTCTTTATGCGAGGCATTTTCACCGCCAGGATGTGAGGCGCCCGAGGCGCCCAAGGCTTCGGCGGCGGCAGCTCAATCTCTCTGATTTCACGCCGCCCTGCCGCACAGGCGCCTCCTCATGCTCGCCGGCCTGGCAGTGTGCTGCCTCTCCGCACAGCCCACGTTCCGCGTCCGCTTTGACGTCGAGACGGCCGCGGTAGCCAGATGACAACACGTCGAGCCGCCAGAGACTAGATGCGGCACAGCGATATCCATCAGCCCTTGCCAGCTCCCGTCCGACAGACGCGCCCGCTCCCTACAGACGGACGGGCCGGGCTCCTTCGAGGTGGAGGTGCATCCAGAGTGGTCGCCGCTGGGCGCCGAGCGCTTCGCCGCTCTGGTCCAGACTGGCTTCTACGATGACACTCGATTCTTCCGCGTGATTCCGTCATTCATGGTGCAGTTCGGTCTCTCTGGCGACCCCGCTCTAAACGCAAAGTGGCGTGCCAATCAGGTGCCGCCGCACGCAGCTGGCTCGGCTCGCCCTCCTCACAGTGAGCAGCGTCTCTCACGCCCACTCGGAAGCGCATTAGATCAAGGACGATCCGGTCGTCGAGAGCAACAAGCCCGGCTACATGACCTTTGCCAAGACGGGAGCGCCAAATTCGCGCACGACGCAGCTCTTCATCAACTATGTCGACAACGCGCGCCTCGACGGGATGGGCTTCGCCCCTTTCGCAAAGGTCTGGGCCTTGCGCTTTACATGCCGCGGAGCGCCTGTCATTACCTTACCTCGCCTTACCAAAGGTCCTTGGCGACGGGATGGCCGTCGTCAAGAAGATCTACAACTGCGGCGAGAAGCCCAACCAGGGGCAGATCCAGAACGAGGGCAACGCCTACTTGGACAAGAACTTTCCGGAGCTGTCCAAGATCGTCAAAGCGACCATCGTTACAGCCAAGGAGGAGATCTAGAGGAGGTCCGACAGACGGAGGGTGCGTCCAAGGACGCTCCGCACTACCTTACCAGCCTCGCTGGCCGCCGGGGTTGTGGGGCGCGAGGGCGCGAGCGAGGGCGAGGTGGGAAGGACGCGCGAGCTGAGATGAACTCTCTTTCGTGTGATCCTTCACCATTATTACGTTTACGTGACATCGTGTCGCGGCGAGCCACCTCGAGCCCGTCGACAACTTTTCGCACGCACAACGTACACGTAAAGAGCCATACTTGTGGCTCTCGCACAATCAAAACGGTAACGCAGTTACAAAACACCACGCGAGACACAGCCACACACTTCTCTCTCTCTCGACCTCTCGAAGCACGAAGGCTCTCGCTTCCTTGGTCCGTCGCATTTTCGCTTCCGCTCTGCGGCTCCTCGATCCTTTTTTCTGATTTCTCCCCCGCGGGCAGCCCTCCCCGGACCCCGCTCCCGTCCCGAGCAACTCGGCGCTTGTTCGCCTCTATCCGCGACTCTTCTCTCTCTCACGTGGCGGCGGAGCTAGCGGGCCATCGCGTGAGGTCGGCGGCGACCGCGAAGCTCCAAAACGACTCCAGCGTCTCGGTGAGTGCCGGCGGGTGGTCGGCGAGTTCGTGTTGCGGCTCCGGGCCGCCTCTCGAGGGCAGCATACTGCAAACAGGGAGGTAGAACGCCGGGGCGGGGGAGTACTCCCTAGTCGTTTCGTACCTGCTCACAAGCCAGAGGTGAATAGACGCCGTTCACACCAGGACAAACTCCCCTGTCTTCTCCTACCTCGCGTGACAGTCTTCACGCGAGTAGAGCACGTCGTAGTGGTGTTCCTGTGCACACACCAGCGCATGTGAAGAGGCGCTTCTCTGCCACAGCGGCGGGACACGTCCGGGTGGTCCTGCTTCCGGCCCGGTTTCTGCACCGGCTCGGGCACCGAAGTGATGAGCCGTAGTGCCGTCGAGAAGGAGTTTGCCATCTGGCAGCCTATTCACAGCAGGGAGCATCGGAAGACCTTGTTTGGGCCTTGTCTCCAAAGGCGTCCGCCATCGGGCCGCCCTGCAGCACGCGATGGCTCGAGGCGGAGGAGCCTACTATCGGAGATCCCTCCGGTATAATCTCGTGTAGGACTCGCACAGGCATCCTCGAGGCCGCGGGCCATTCTGTCGGCGAGGGAGAGCGGGAGAGCGGCGGACGCGCGAGCCGTCCACCGTGTGCAAGAGCAGCATCGGTCCGGCAAAGGGCCGCGTAAAGCGAGGCTCGTACAACAACCGCTGGACGCCCTGGGCCTGCCCTGCCAACGCCCATTCGCTCCCCTTGGCGGCACTTTTGAAAGCCGCCGCAGCGTCCGTCAGCCGGTGCACCCCAACCCGCACGCAGCTGCTCGGTCCCATCCGGGACTCGCGCAGGCACACTCGGAAGTCGGCGGCGTGCAACGCGCGCAGCGACTCGCGCAGCGGCCGCTGGTCGTCCGCCGTCTTGCCTAGCTTCAGCTCGTCGGACCAGAGCTTGAGCAGCGCCGTGAGCGGCCGCCCCTTGCGCACGAGCAGCGCAAAGTTGTGAGGCAGAAAGTCGGTGACCCGCCCCGGCCGAATCACCCCGTAGTAGTCATTATATCTCCGTATGGGCGCCGGCAGCTGTGACTCCTCCGCGAGCGGCGACGACTCGAAATTGACAGCAAAGTCGATCGCGGCGTTGCGATGCGCGGCGGCGAGGGCGCCGTGCAGCATGCTCGAGCAGATCTGCACCGTTGCGTCGAGCTCAAGTGTGAGCTCGAAGGGCGAGGCGGCGAGCGCCGCCACACGAGCCAAGTAGCTCTGGCGCCATCGCTGAGCGTACACCGTCGTGTTGGCGGCCACAATGAAGTCGAACGTGCTGCGCACCTCCCTTGACGCGGCGAGATCGGTGGCGAGTGCGGTTGGCAGGTCTGGGCACGCCGTGCGGACGCTCAGCACGCTGCTCTGCACCTGAGGCACCGAGCGGCGGCCGAGCTCACGCCGAGCTCAAGCCGAGATCACGCCCTGAATGCGTGCTCTGCACACCTCAGCGAGGTAGCGATCAACACGCTTGCCTGGGTGCTGCGGCGAGGCGAAGGACATCACCACGTAGAGCACCCCCACCGGTGCCGCGGCCGATCGCAGGTAGCGAGGGCTAACAGACGCCCGCACAAAGCCGTCGTAGTCGGCGCCTGAGGGGAGGCAAGACGAACTTTCAGACATTAAAGGCAGCCTTGACGTGGCCGTTTGTTCTTGTCATGCCGGCGTGTGCTACAAACAGCCCGTATTCGCTCGCCCCTCCCTTCTTGCTTTGCTGTGGCTCATCGTTCTGCATAGCTGTCGCCGTGCAGATCGACTGACTGCACGCTGCCTGCATCTAGGACGCAGCACCCGCCACGAATTCAATATGAAGAGGCGCAGCGCTGCTGTTGTCTGCACCTGCGGGGGCCGCAATTCGTGCGATGGGTCGCGGCTGCGGCGGCTCGCGTGCCAAATGCCGACTGCGCCAGTGCTCGCTTTGGGTGATGCACTCTGTTGCTGTCTATGGCGGGGTTGCGGGCGGCACCGTGCTTCAGCGGTCTGCCTCGCGGGTCGCTGGCCGCATATCCCCTGCGGACCGCCGCGACTGCCTTTACCTTCATCGCATGCAGGAGCCAGAAACGGCTCGGTAGAGACTCTGTAGTCGGTCTTGTCTCGAGGTGCACCCGGTTAAGCCAGACTGGCGCGGAATGATGCGGCCGCGTGCGGCCGGCGGGCGCGATTGTGACGGGGCGAGGCTCGGGGTTGCGGCCGCGTGCAGCGCCGCTGGCGACGCTGTAGTCAGCGTCGCGGGGGCGCGTTTACTTGTGAATGTCGAATCTCTTTACGGCGCGAAAGTCGATCGGATTCACCTAAAAGGGATACAATTAGATAAAAGGAGTGGGAATCCCACGGACGCACGTAGTTGTTACGTCACCCCAAAGACATTTTAGGTAGGTGAAGCTGACGCGCAACCCCCTCTCCCGGTCAGAGGGGGTGGGAGGGGTGGCACCTACCTGTGTGTATGTTGTAGTTTTAGGTATGTTGTAGTTGGCAAAGGAAGGTATGTAGCGTGAGTGAGGTCGCCGGCTGCACTGTTTGCTCCGCAATGCTGGCTGGCAGTTGTAATAAGTTGCCAAATGTGTGAATTTTCGTGGGAAGGGGGAACGGAAATTCTTTTCATTGAGTGTGCCAGTCCGCGCCAGTCCGCGCCCTTGTCGTGCCAGTGTGCTGTGAGAGAGGCCTTTAACCCTAGTAGGTGGATAGTGTCGCTGTTTTCGAAAGGCGCTGACGGCCCGGCGCGTACCGCGCGACGCCCGGGCTACCCACCAGTGAAAGGCCTATACCAACCCTTCAAAATGACCTACTAACTTTGGTACACTCTCACTTTGATATTTCCCGCGGTGCACACTCAAAGTCCGGAAATCTCACAGACGCGCGCGTTTTGGCCGGCTACCCCATCGGGTCGCACGGAGACACGGGAAGGCTGCCGCAAGCCGCCTCCGGGTGCAGGGGCCCGACGCGGTAGGCGGGGGCAACAGCCCGGTAGCTGGCCGCGCCTCTCCGCCCCGCCCGTCGCCGCTGCACCCCTTGCCGCGGCCCTCGTCGCTGCTGCAGCGACGACAGCCGCGGCACGAGGTCAGAACGCGGCCTCGGAGAGCTCGAGCGAAGGCGCCGACGGTGGCGGCCGTGGTAGTGGTTGATGGTAGAAGGCTCCTGAGCCGTCGGGCACCACGCTCGACGTCGCCGAGGAGCCGCACCCGGCGCGAGCGCCTGCGCGTCGGCGGGTGCCACCGAAGGCGGGTGGGCAGCACCGGGCGGGGCGGCGGAGCTTCTCGAGGCGCGCACGTGCCCCGCGGGTCGTGCGCCGAGGCAGACGGCCGAAGAACCGGTGGAGTATCGCGCCCTCCTTCGCCGTGCCGCGTGTGCGCTGCGCCCGCTCGAGAGGCCGTCGAGAGCAGCGCGGCGCAGCCGATCCGGGCGATGAGCGTGCGCGGAACCGACCGGACCCGTCAATGTCCACTATGCGGGCATGGCCAGGCCGGCGCGGTTTGGTCTGGCGACCTACAGGGCGCGCACCGCGGTTGTGTCAACGCGAGATTCCGCGAGACCGCCTGTCTGACAGGTTATCCACCCACTAGGGTTAAGAATTCTTTTCCCCAAGGGCAAAGGCCATGCTCACTACTCGTAGCTCGCGCCAGGACGCGGGCGTGGCTCCTTCCAGGCCCAAGCCCAAAGCCCAAAGCCAGGCCCAAAGCGTGGTGATGATGCTCGTTGCTACAACAGTCGCCCTACTGCTGCTGCTCGGCTTCAGCACGAGCCAAGGCGCTGCCGCGGCGGTGGACGGACCTCGACCTCGCTCCTTCTTCTGGTTCAACGATGTGACGCCAGCGCTGCCGCCGTTCCCACCACACCAGCCGCCGCTGCCGCCGTCGCCACCTCCACCGCACCCGCCGCTCCCGCCGCTAGCGCCGCCGCCGCCTTCGCCACCGCCGGATGAGTTCGACTGCCACGATCTCGGCGGCTTCGACGCAACCATGTTCCGTGGGATGATGAGTCAGTACATGGAGCGTTTCTACGGATCTCTGCCGACCGCACCGCGCGAAGGCCGCGAGTACCGGCGGCTCGGAACGATGGAGATCGTGCGGTACAACCTGAGCTACACCAACATCGAGCTCGGCGAGGCAAAGCTGCTCGGCTGCAGAAACAAGGGCGCCAACAAATGGTGCGTCGCCACCCTCTCGCCTCCAGGAGATGCAACCCTCCTCCGTGCCCCGCGGCAACGCCCCGACCGCGGACGCGCCGTCCCGGCCGACTGTCCCGCGTGGCTGGCCTGTGGCAGCTGACCCGGGCTGGCCTGTGGCAGCTGACCCGGGCTGACTAGCTGGGGCTGACCTGTGGCAGGTGGGACCCGGTCGAGAATGAGCTCGACGAGATCGGCGACTCGGTCAGCGAGATGCTCGGCCCGCTCGCGCCGTACATCGGGCCAAGTAAGGGCTCGCGGCTGATCGAGTTCGACACAGTCACGCTGGAGATGGAGGTCGAGCCGAGAGCAGCCGAGAGCAGCCGAGAGCAGCCGAGCGAGTTCACCCGAGATCACCCCAGATCACCCGAGATCGCAGGTCAAGTCGTTCGGCCTGAGCATGCAGTCCCACGTGACGGAGTTCGGCTTCGGCGTCGGCGGAGGGACGGCGACAGCGACGGGCTCCGGCAAGGTCTGGCTCGACAACCTGTCGATCCGGCTCGCAGACGTGCTGGCGGGGGTGGGTGCGGGCGGGCCGCCGGGCGGGGGAGGCCCGCTCGGCTGCGGCGCCGATTTCGAGGTCGACCTCAAGTTTGATGGTACGAGAGCCATATGCGGAGTATACAGAGCAGCCCATTGCCTTCCCGCGACGCGAGTACCACCCGGTGTGTTCGTGACGCAGGCACCTTTGAGGGGCTTGGCTTCGAGCGGCTGTTCGGCTCGGGCGGGCCGCTGGCGCTCGCAGCGACGGGGAAGCTCCGAGAGAGCCGAGCGAGGTGCACTGACGGCGGAGCGACGCTGCCCGCCGTAGGCGCCCGATGTGACGGGCATGCTCTGCGACGGCCGAGAGAGCGGCGGCAGTCTCCTCGACTCGGGCTGGCAGTGGCGCGGCCCAGGCCCCGCGCCGGTCGGCATCCGGCAGCAGACGATGACGTACCTGCAGGAGCGGTGCGACCCGTCAGACCCACTGACAAAGCTCTTCGAGCGCTGCATGTTCGTCACCGAGTGGCTGCCCGCGGGCGCGCGCGGCGCCGCCGCAGAGATGCGCGCAGCGCTCCACAAGGCGCGCGGCTGAGGACCCAGGGAAGGTCGTGCGTACAACAGCAACGGCACCGCTCCTGGCCCATCGCATGCCGAGTGCGTGCGAGGGCCGCTGATGCGCGTGTCCCGTCTCTCCATTCTCAAGGTCATGTGTGGTGTCGAGGGTGTGCAGTGGCCACATTAGCCCGCCCTCCACGCTCCCCCGTCCTCTACGACTACGTACTACGTTCATGATCATCTCATCAAACACATTGTCATATTGAAAATGAATCGGTGAAATGAATAGAGTATAGAGAGCGCGCATCAACCATCATCAGACATCACTACCTCACGAACGTCTCCCCGGACTCCGTGGTCTATAGGATCGAAAGGAAGAACATTTCGCGTTCGTTCGAGACGCAAACGGCAAACACCCGGGGGACTCAAACAAATGAACGAAGCGGACAAAAGGCCTCATCACCGCCAGCAAGAAAAGCGAACCCTGCGATATCGGCGAAGACGAAGGCCCCCATCAAAAGCGAGCTCCTGGCATTGAAACGAATTGAAACGAATCCCAGTCCAAGTTGCGCGAACGCCTCGTTTCCCCAAGAAAGCAAGCGCGCCGGCCTCGGGTGTGTGTGTGTGTATATGTTGCTCTCCACGCTGCTCGCCACCGTCTTCGGCAGCCCGGGCCCCATCCCGTCGATCGGAGAGGATGCTCACGTCGCCCGCAAGCTCCAGGGCGTTGGCACTAGGATTGTCGGCGGGGTGCCCACGGGAGTGCAGGAGTTTGAGTGGCTCGTGAACCTGCGAGACACTCGGTTCGGCCAGGAGGGCTTCTGCGGTGGGACACTGATGTCTGCGAACTGGGTGCTGACGGCCGCGCACTGCGTGAGCGACTACAACAAAGCGAATAAGCGCAAGAAGCTGAGAGTGTGAGTGGACCGCCCCACCCTCCTCCCGCGCCCGCTCTCTTCCCGCGCCCGCCTACCTCCCGCGCCCGCCCTCTTCCCGCGCCCGCCTACCTCCTGCGCCCGCCCTCCTCCCGCGCCCGCCCCTCTCTCACGTCCTGCTCCTGCTCGCCCCTGTTCCTGCACCAGCCACCGCTCACGTGCCCGTCTCCTCTGCAGCGCCATCGGACGGCACAAGACCAACGGCAACTCGCACCCGAACAACAAGCACCCGATCCAGCAACTTTCGGTGGAGGCGGTCCACATGCATCAGAGCTACAACGACGACACCCTCAAAAACGATATCGCGCTCCTGAAGCTGTCGAGCCCGGCAATGGACTATTGGGAGGCGGTCGACTCGCTCGGCATGCCCGCCGCAGACATTGGCGGCGAGACCCTGACCGTCGCTGGCTGGGGCACCCTCAGTTCAGGAGGCAACACGCCGTCGGTGGCGCAAAAGGTGGAGGTCGAGGGGTCAAGTTGCTCCGCCTACGGAAACTGGATCAAGGACGGGATGATCTGCGCGGCCGAGAACGGCAAGGACAGCTGCCAGGGTGACAGTGGCGGGCCCCTCGTCTACAAAAATGGCGCGGACGACTTTACGCTGGTGGGCGTCGTGTCGTGGGGCGAGGGATGCGCGGGGAGTAAGCCCGGTGTTTACACCGACGTCGACTACTTCCGCTCGTGGATCTGCGAGACAATGGAGGAGAACACCGGGAGCGGAGACGACCCCCTCCACCAATCGTGCGGCGACAGCACCCCGTCGCCGTCGCCGTCGCCGTCGCCTCCCCCCACCCAAATCCAGCTTCCACCCGTGGCGGAGTTCGAGGGGGTGTTTCTGTCGTCGACCGATCAGAAGTGGTACGCGGTCGCTGCGGGCTCAAAGAGCTCCGGCTTTACGACAGCCAGCAGCGCGCTGCTGTGGCTTCCGAGCCTCTGCGCCGACAGCCACGATCGGTGCCCCATGAAGTTGAACACTGCCGCTAAGAGGGCAAAGAATTGCCCGAAGGCCAACGGCTGGAACAGCCAGAAGTGTGCAGCCACCTGCGGCCCCGAGCTCGGCGGCTGCAGCCCAGGATGATGATGGAGACCTGCGCCGGGCTTGCGCGCGATACGGCTACGCGCGCAGCTGCGAACAAGAAATAAAATCATATTTATGGGAGTGGCTCAAGAGAGTTGTCTCGGTCGTGTCTAGTCAGGTTTGTACGAATATCCATTGCATGCATGCGATGCTTGAGGACGGTATAGAGGGCCGATTCTCCTTTTGTGAGTTGTGTGTGGTAAGGGACCTCTCGAGCAGCGCGCCATGCGGGCCTGCCGCCGGCGACGAGATTGGAGAGCCGACAGGCATCAAAGAGGTAGGTACTGAGGAGGGCCATCGCGCCCGAGGCGGTCCGCGCCGGCCCTGCAGGCCGTCTCAGAGAGCCTGGCGAGGCTGTACAGAATGCCAAGAGCATACTGAGCAGGCTGCCGTCGAGCGACGAGCCATGCTGGCTCGTCGCAGGCGATGAGGTCGAGGAGCCGATCGGAGCGTCGCAGAGGCTGCCGACCACTGCCGTTCGCCCTCGGGCCCAGGGGTGGAAGGCAAGCTTCCTGGCGTTTCTGGCGAGCGTCCAGACGTCGCAGAGCATCCGGCAGGCGCGCAGCGACCCAAATTTTTGCTCACCGCACGGCCGTGCGAGCCGTCGGTCGGTGGTGATGGTCGGCGTCGGCGCGCGCCGCCCGACGCGGCGGCGGTGGGCGTCATGTGGCGGGCGTGGGAAAGAGCATTGTCCGAATTGCGGCGGACGTCCCTCTTATCAAGTGCTCAAGTGCTCAAGAGGCTGCGCAGGCCTTCCCCGGTATTTTAATATGAAAACCACACACCGGGTCGGACACACCGTCCGGTGTCACCGTCACCCGCGCGCGTCGCCGTCGGGACACTCGGGTCCGTCGCCAGGCTGCTGCGAGCGCTTGTGTCAGCGTGGGCCACCTCTCGGCTCACGCCGCTGACAGAAGCACCCAACTGCATGCGTGGCGGCGCCGGCGGCGCAGTCAGAGTACAGAGATGTATGTATGTATGTAGGAAGGCGAAGAACAGTCAGGCGCGTAACGTCTCGTATAGTTAGAGGCTGCGCAGGCCGTCCCGTTTGCTGTTTGAAACGCCTGTTGCGCTGGCCGCTGCGCGCGCGCGCTGGCCGCTGCCGGGGCTCTGTCTCACTCTCACGTGCCGCAATATGTGTCACGCACGGCGGCTTCTGCCACCTCTCGATT